CAGGCTATCTAGAGCAATTAGTGTCTTGCCCGTGGACAAAACCATGACAGCAAGCATCAAATGTTATATCGGCTTCCTGATATATAACTCGGATCTTCATTCAAGATTGAAAGCCAGATACTCTACCAACTGGAGTTTTGATAGAAGAAGCAATTTTAGCAAAGCTGTTTAAAGCTAAAAATTCACGATTGACCGTTCTACTTGGGGAATTTCTGTGTTATACTTTATCCTGTATTCTTTATCTAAAGGTTACATTTTTGTACGTCGTGTGGTAGCTAGAAGTTCTCATAATACCGTAACTAAGCAACCAAAGATTCGAGCTATGATTGCTTGACTTTTTATGGATATTCTTGCCTTTCTGATCCTTAACCGGTAGTCTTTAAACGAAATTTATCACACTAGCAGTACCGTTAATAGTATTTTATGTTTGGAAAATAATGGAAAATATAGGGCCTCTTTGATTACATTTATCCTGCATTTCAAATCCTTTTTTTCCGGAAACTATAATATTGATTCCAAACAAAAACTAGTATGTTGTTCATTGAACATCACGGTAAAGATAAACCTATGTCTGTTTGCGTTTCATGTCGGATTTTAAGATTTTTGAGAGCTCTGGACTTAACAGACTCATCTCGCTGTTATAGAGAATTCTTCGTATGCTATGATTTTGTCCATTGTCTAGCATAGTCTCCGCCGGACTCCATAGGTGTCTTCAAATTCACATTGCCCAAGTTCACACGAGAACCCTTTACTTGATGGATATTATCTGTATCGACAGTTACCACGTGCCAAGCTAGTGTATAGGTCTTTACAATAAAGACGTGATGAATGCAGAGCTGTTCTCAGTGCACCTGATACCAGATAAAAAGGTAGACAGAAATACAGATGTCCGTAAGCAGACTGATTACTATATCCGGTCCCGACATTTTCTATGCGGGGACCTGATTGTGAGAGATATCGATTCCGGTTGTGGCGACGTTGAAGTAAACTAAAACAGTGAGAAGCCGGATTGGTACACAAAATACACGTAAAAGGATGCGACTGTACTCAATTCTAGTCTTAAATAGCGTGTGTATTGACAAGTGTCCATTATTGAGTTCCCTCACAAAATATATTAGAAACCAAAACAAACACGTTCTTGTTTGTAACTGTTTGACAGAATTGAGTGAGGTGTCGAGCTTCTTATTTATTAATCAATTTTGTCTTTCCCTTTTGTTTGAACAAATGAAAACTGTTCAGTTTTACGTAACAAGTGTCGACATCTACGTGTGGAAACGTAGGTGTTATTACATTCTGCTAAGAATAGCGTATACATATTAAAATCTGGGGAAACCCCGTTGTAATGAGGAAGTTGAATTATATATATATACATATATATCAAAGCAAGGAGCAGGCGAAGGCAAAACACGTGAACAATTACACAACTCTTAATTGCAAATTGCAAAGAAATGAAGTATCAAAACGAAAGCTACTGGAAAAGTAGATGGAAGAAGAGACCATGTGTTAAAGAGGGAAAGCGTCTTCTGCTTCGTCGTAGACACCATTGTAAATATAGGTCAATCTAATATATGCCACGTTCTAAAAACGAGAATTAACACCATACGTGCGATCAAAGAACACGCTTAACTTTGCTTTGCACCATCAATTAGGACGATTTATATCGAGTTGACGAGTGACGTAAAACACAACATGATTCACTTAATTATCTTAAATGGATTGTTTATGAAGCTCAGAAGAAATTTCGTTAACATGGACATACTGTTGAGTATTATCGATGCTTCCTTGTCAAATGTTACATATACCTAACCATAGACCAATCCTGAGATCGGACCTTAGGACGATACGTTCATATCTCTAATTAGCTTTAATGTAGTGGTGCAGTTACACGCTCTGTGATCTGTTGATTGTCCTTGTAAATCTTCGTTATAATTTGTTACTCGTGAAGGGTTGCTACGCTATTACCATGTAATAACATTTCGTGTCAAAATACCCTATAATGCTGATTTTTCTTCCGTTTTCCGATCGGGAATGCTTGTATATCCGAAGTATTACACAAATGTAGCCGTAATGCTCTTTTATCAATAGAGATATCGGGCTATGCTCCCTGCCATTGAGCAGACACAATAATCGTATATTCTCTTATTTATTAAACATGACAACTGGCTACAACTTTGACACGACGTCGATAAGTTTTTGTGTTTATCTATACAATAGTGAATATCACTGTCTAACTTACTGTGTGCCTTTTCCGGCTGGGTAGTTATGTCAATTTCACGATTGTGTATACTAGTCGGATATTCTGTCCTTGTCTGTTTTTCCTCGTTAAACTTAATCAATAACTATTGTATCCGATTATTTTAACAATTATCTATTTCATAAAAACGTATATGTTTGTTAGCATTATCTACCAGCAGCTTACAGACAAAAGTGAGTTATTGTCTCTTTCATTTGTAAAGGTCATGTAGATTCCAGGTTGTCGCTATCAGGCCATTTTTTCACAGTACTGCTGTTCACGTATCTTGTTCTGTCTTCATTTGTTTGTTCCTTTGTTTTTGTTTTTGCTTTTGTTTGAGTTTTTTTTATTATTCATTTATTTTTAAAGCTTGACAACCCGTCTCCTTGATGGACGAGCCTACGTCCAATGCAACCGACATCTGAACACGATAACATTATTATTCTGTTATTGTTAACTAAGAATTTACTTCTTGACTCATTCCATGCAAGTTCCTTTACAGAAATAAGAGAAAATGTTTCTTAGCAGACCAATTTGTCTGGCTGCTTCCAATAAATCTCCACTGAAATCAAGTTTCATCTGGAGTTCAATGCAGGCCCCCGTATAAACATTTCAAATCTCGGTAGTTCTTGGTTTGTATTGATTCTGTTCCTAAGAGGCGACAGATTTCCTATCATTTTATATTATGATTGTCGTGTATCACGCTTAGCTTTGACATTCCAACTGGATATTATGATGAGGGCTTCACGAATCAAATGCCAAATTTGTCAACTTCCGTTACCAATGGTAAAGGTCGAGTTAGCAAACTAAACTTCGAATTCTAATCTAATTCCAACGACAGATATATCATTAGACTAACATTATCTATACAAAAATAAGAACAATGCTCAAGACCTAGCAGTTGATTGCCTATAATAAGAACCATTTAGTCAGGAGTAAAGAGTACTTAAAATGATGGACAATGTTCTAACAATTCAATGACTCCATAAAAGGTATTTTCTTTGAAAATAGCATTAATTAGCGTTGCTAATTGATTTTGACACTGCCACTACTGTCTGAAAAACACCCCATAATGATATTCCTTTGCTGCATCATTGAATTCTAGACCTTACTTTTGCATTAAAACAGATAGTATTCAACACTTTCAGACGCCCTCAATGTCCAATACCGTTTTGTTGTATTTATCGAATTGCTCCATAGCACGAAAGTTAATGATTGGTGGATATTTATAGTACATTACTGTACGTCAAACAAATGTGTTATTTTGAACTCAAACCTATGATTTTCAAAATAAATCATTTCTAGAGAAAAAGCGATAAAAGTCTGTTTAAGTAACAATATAGTAATAATATGATAGAAATTATACTTACACAGCACAGGAAAGAATCCAAACTTCGGGAGCATTTTACTTATTTTCGTCCAAGAACAGGAATGGCGAAAATTTGTCAAAACTTATCAAACCTTTTTACATCGTCCCAAGGGCGAAATGAACGTGAGGCGAATTCGTGTATAATGCAAAAGGGTGAAAATAACTAGGTATACTGTAAATGCATATACTATCTCTTGTACAGAACATACCTGCAATTATTAGGTATTAGAGAGGGTTATTGCGTAGGGATGTATTTCCTATTGTTTTGGTTTCACTTTATTAAGATGAAAATTCCAAAATTTACTGAATTTTGGGCTAGTGCACCTCTCTTTCTAGATTTTCACATTCCTTTCGATCACTTTGGATTTTTCCTCAGTCACCTCCTTAGTTTCAATATGTAATTAAGATCTTATCATCGCTGACGAGTCCTAGAAGGACGAAACAGCTGTATGATGCAGATTAATTCAAATCTTTATTTGTATCGAATGATTCACTTATGTGTCTTTTGTACAATCTTCCCCATATTCTGTCCACAGTTATTTCCCATATCCCTCTTTTGTGTTGAACAGAAGGCGTAAACTTCAACATTCGTGTGATCAAGCCAGACCAGAAATAATTTGCCCTCGAAACATCGTATTGGCAGTATTCAGTTAGGATAACATAAATGTTTATAGAACATCATGTTTGGCCAAACAGATGATAATTTGAGCCGATTACGTTTCGAGGACCTTTCGCGTACAGATGTAATAACTAGAGAAGCTTTCTACGAAATTGGTTTTCTGAAATATGATTGTCAATTGCGGCCGTTATGGGACGAGCGATCTAAGGCTATTATTTTCTGATACTCGTTATCCGTATTTATTGTTAAATGTATCAATTCAAGTCACGTACCAATAAAACTACACTTAATAGCGAAGACCGCTAAATTCAGTGTATAAACAAGATATCTATAAACCGTTTTTTCCCGTCAATAATAGTGGTTGCTTTTGATAGATTGTTCCCAAGTGTATAATTTTCTTCATGGAAATGTACACAGTGACTACAACCCATGTTTTGATAGTGTAGCATTGTAGATGACAATCCTTTAATGTCAAATATAAAAAAAATATTTGCGGACGACATTTTACAATTTCCATTCCGTTGTAAATATTTACCGTTTCATGGTTTTATTGCTACTACAAAGTCTGTGATTCTAACGACGGATGTAACGCTTTACAGGAAAATGACAATATAGATGAACATATAGGAGACGAAAGATTTAAGTTAAAAAATTAAAACATGTGAGAGAAGATGAGAGGAAGGGAGGGGGGAGGTTTTCCAGTGAAAAGTTAATGTTAACCAATTTGATTCTCTTTTGATATCTAAAAGATGCCATTAATATATATGTTTTATTTCCAGGTTGCTTTGACCAAAGTCCATCATGTCTCAATTAGGATGTGTTTGTTTACTGGTGCTACATGTGGCGCTTTCCTCAGCCATTACAGGTAAGTAGATGTATCACATTTGACGATATAATACAAAATCAAAGATGAAAATAACGACTACATGTTAACAGACTCTTAACTCAAACACAAAGTCGTTGTAACAAGGGCAAAATATGAAGAAAAGACATATTTACAAGGAGACTTCTGAAAAGGCAAAGGAAGAACAAGACCAGGCGGCCCATAAGAGTAAGCATCTTCTGCTTTATCGGAGACATCCATCATGGTCAATCCAAGACAGTAGAGTGCCGTTAACAAATAAGAACAAGGTAAACAATCAAGAACTAAACAGTAATGAGCACGTCCAACATCGCACAAAGAAATAGGATATTTCTTGATAACATCATCATGACGACCGTAAGACTATGTTTTCAAGTTAAGTATTTACAGTTTTTCTTTATATCTTGTACACAAATTAACTGAAATAAACTGCGGTGACTTTGCGTCAGAAAACAAGTACACAAAAATAATACAGGTATGAATGTATCTTACAATAGAGCAAAATTACTGTAATTATTGTGTTTATATTTACGTACCAATGATTAATGATATAAGTAAATTAATACCAGGCAGCCGATATGGAATATTCTCATTAAAAGTTTAAGGATTTTCTTATCACGTCTATATAACCAATCGCTATACTTATGTTGTAAGGACAGAGCATAATTATTCATTTTCAAAAAAGGCCTTTGAGCATTTTGGTTAACGATATCTAAAAACTAAAACTTTTTTATGATCCGGAGATTATCACAGATTCCAAAAGCAGTTATTGAGAAAATGTAATTGATATAAGCGGAAACTGCTGAAACGGTAGTCGGCATTTATATGGAAAGAGAAATGCCAATATTTCCTTGTGAGAAATTGGCTTCATTCCGCTGGGGCCTTCGGCATATATTGTGGCCAAATCCAAGTCAGGTTCAACGAGAACCAGAGAATTTGGCTAATGCACAGGTAAACAGAACATGAATAATGCATGGTACTTCTGATGGGATCTGAAGAATTCAAGTGTATGACGAGTAACAATCTCCAAATCAATTGTATGTCTACTTCGGGAGTATTACAAGCATTCATGCGTTGTCTAAACCAGTTACCAAGTCCTTATCTAGAGGAATATGTATATAATCCTTCTCAGTACGATTACCGGATCACATTTTTGTATTCAAACATCCCATATGCTAAAAAATAGTCGTTCTTGAATTTGCTTCAAATTTGTTTCTGAGGAAAAACTGTCTCATCAACACGTAGTTGCTACCAGATAAAGTCATTAATATAACAAGTGATAAAGATGAGTAGAAAATCAATTCAATGCTTTAATCATTTGAACAAATGGAATTCAAATAAAAAAGTATTTATGAATTTTATTTGGAAATGTGCTTTGAGCATGTTTCTATAACTTAATTTCATCTCCCGTGTTCTCACACTCAATAAGAGCAAGCTGTTATAATTCACCAACTAATGTGGTTTCAGTTAAAATCCTTAGAATACGAAACCAGCGTTAAAAAAAGTAAAACGCAAATATCAGTACAACAAGGAATTATATATGATGCACAACAGATGTGATAGAAAAGATTATTTTCTGTCATTTTAAACTACAATGGCACTTAAAACTTTATTTAAAAACAGTGAAGTTATTCTTAATTATACTAATTACTCGTGTTGGTCCGGATGGAAGGACGCGAGGAATATCCCTGTATAAGTAAACCGGAGAGAAAATCACATGGTTTTAGTTGGGTAGGTGGCCCCACAACTTTTCACGTACATTCTAGGAGTCGGACTCCGAACATGTAGGTGAAAAGCGTGTGTAACAATGAGCCATCCGACTATCTTACACTTTAAAAACTTAACCTTAAAACTTGGAAAATTCTTTCTTCTTCAGAAAGATAAAACAATGGATGCCATTCTCTTCAAATCAAATTTTGCTTGATGTCTGATGGTCAGATGAGTCATAGGATGTTATAGGTGTTCTTGTGATATCGATCCATTCCTGTTGATAGTAGACCTTGACTTACAGTAGACTTGCTGGGATGACAGCAATCACATAAAAAGCAGATCTGTATTATTGACCTGGCAGATGAAGTTTGCTTTTACTCTAGACCATATGGGAATGTTTCGGCGCCTGGACACATTCAGTAAACACTATGGATCGTCACTTGTGTCGAATTGTACTTTTGTATGTAGTCTTGTGTTTGTTGTACACACACACGCCAATGAATGCTACACTTATGCATGGTCGGATGTGTATACATGTACAATTATTACTATTCCCCGATTCCCATTGCTATCGATTTGACTCTGGGCTTCTGTGGAATGTATATTTGTAACAGTCTCTATAGTTTAGAGGCATTAGTCCCTGTAGTAGCTTGTCTGAATGCCAAAGTACTCACTATAAATAACGGAGGCACGGTTTGGTGGATAATTTCAAACACACAGCACCACTACCGATTGTAGAAGCATAGCGCAATGAAACAAATGGCATTGTGCTTTGGCAAAAACTTTGTTCAAATGAAATGTAGTTGCAAAGACATCCCGTAGTCATGACTTCCGTGTTGCCGATGAAACACTAAGTGCTTCGCTATTTACGCACTGCAGTTGACTCATTATCGAAGCACTGCAGACGAGCCATTAAGCAATCACATTTTACACGTCCGTGTTAATGCTAGTGCATAATGGTTTTGAATTGTCCGTCAGGCCGTCCCTTCGTCCATAATGCCATGCTCAAAGGTCATAGTTCTAAATCTACTAAATAAATGTCGATCATTTAATGCATTATTGTTCTTGTGATCCAACGAAGTGTCAAAGTCACATCCTCAAGGTTATGGTCATAAAGTGTCCAAAATGTGTATATACAATCAATCAATTGTGCTTAAGACTCATATTATTGCTCAACATAAATTTAGAATAGGATTTTGGTAGATGCTACTTGTTGAATTTTAGTCTCCGAGGTTGCCGTAACCTAAATTCCATTATTTTTTTTTCATTCGAATATTAGCACAGTTCAAATTATACATATCGATTGGGGTCCTTTTGAAATAGAAAATTATCACAATTATTTCCTTTGAGGGTTAGTGTAACTCTCCGCCGTCTCGTCTTTGACAATAAGTTGACCTACATGTATTTAGCTGAGATATTGATCTTTTTTGTCTCTCTTCCGCCTAGTTTCTTCTCCCTATACTTTATTTTCCACTCTTGTCGACAGCTGCCCTCATATGACACTGGTTGTTGGTTGTCCCTGTCGACATCTCTCCTCATATGATCCTGGCTTCTGGTGTCCCTCTCGACATTCGCCCTTATATGACACTGGCTGTTGGTTTCCCTCTTCCTTTCGACATCCTTCCTCATATTACCCTAGTTGTTGGTTGTCTCTGTCGACATCTCTCCTCATATGATCCTCGCTGTTGGTGCCCCTCTCCCTCTCGATATCGCCCTCATTTGTCATATGACCCTGGACCCTTTCGACATCTCTCCTCATATGATCCTGGCTATTGGAGTACCTCTCGACATCTGTCCTCATATGACCCTGCTGTTAGTGTCCCTCTCGACATTCGCCCTCTTATGATCCTGGCTGTTAGTGTCCCTCTTGACATCCGCCCTCATTTGTCATATGCCCCAGGCTATTTGAATTCCTTTCGATATCCATCTTCGTATGACCCTGGCTGTTGGTGTCTCTCCCGACATCAGCCCTCTTATGATCCTGGCTGTTGGTGTCCCTCTCGACATTCGACCTCACGTGACCCTAGCTTCGGTGTCCCTCTCGACATCTGTCCTCATGTGACCCTGTCTTTTGGTGTCCCTCTTGACATCCAGTCTCATATGACCCTAGCTGAAGACGGACCTTTTGACCCCATAAAAAATACAAGCCATCAAATCCAAATAATGAAATCTGAACGCACAAAGCTGTGCAGGCATCGTTATATAATAGAAACCAATTAATTCCAATGGATTGTACGTAAATACCATTAAATATTATCAAATCGATGATTGACAAACCATATAACAAACCAGTAAAGTAGGGCGTGATATCAAAACTTTGGTATGGTTTGTTTATTCCTCGATTAATAAAGCCTCTAAATGCTCGTAAAACCTATTTGATAAACTATCTAGAACAATTACGGGATAAAGCAAACAGTGGCATCTCCGTTGTTTGGAAAGGAGCTCTAATACAATATTTGACAAACTGTATATAGATCGATGGTTACTTCCGACTTAAAAGACATTACCATATTGATTCACGTGTGGAGGGTTTTGTGCATGTATATGACTATAATGCCTTAGGTGCAATAGCCACGTCATTTAACCTTTCGACATTTTACAGTATCAAGAGTTAATCAATCGGGTAAATTTCAAATCAGCTTACGCATATATAGATTTCATTTCTGTTTCCCAGAGCCTTTCATCAGTAGTAACAGTGCAAAAAAATGAGTTGGTTTGTCAATTACATGTCTGTTAGAGGCTGTCTGAATGACGTTGTTCTTTATTGGTCCTTATGTCGAGAGTATTCTCAGGGCTGTCTGTGTTGAGTTGTTCGTAAGTTGTTCGAGTCCTTATTTTGGGAGTATACTCGAGCTGTTGGTTGTTTGTACGATCGTTAGAGGCATCTGTTCCAAGTGTCACTGTTCTAAATGATGGCTGATTGTTTTTCTATTCTTTCTGGAGGAGTGGTAGCTATGGGTCTATGTTTTACGAGAGTATTCTTGTTGGTCTTGGTGTTTTACGGGTTTGTGCTAGTGGGCCTTGGTGACTGATATGTGTCTGTGTTATGTGGGTTTGTTCTAGTGGGCCTTGGTGACTGATATGTGTCCGTGTTTTGTGGGTTTGTCCTAGTGGGCCTTGGTGACTGATATGTGTCCGTGTTTTGTGGGTTTGTCCTAGTGGGCCTTGGTGACTGATATGTGTCCGTGTTTTGTGGGTTTGTCCTAGTGGGCCTTGGTGACTGATATGTGTCCGTGTTTTGTGGGTTTGTTCTAGTGGGCCTTGGTGACTGATATGTGTCCGTGTTTTGTGGGTTTGTTCTAGTGGGCCTTGGTGACTGATATGTGTCCGTGTTTTGTGGGTTTGTTCTAGTGGGCCTTGGTGACTGATGAGTGGGCCTTGGTGATTGATATGTGTCCGTGTTTTGTGGGTTTGTTCTAGTGGGCCTTGGTGACTGATATGTGTCCGTGTTTTGTGGGTTTGTTCTAGTGGGCCTTGGTGACTGATATGTGTCCGTGTTTTGTGGGTTTGTTCTAGTGGGCCTTGGTGACTGATATGTGTCCGTGTTTTGTGGGTTTGTTCTAGTGGGCCTTGGTGACTGATATGTGTCCGTGTTTTGTGGGTTTGTTCTAGTGGGCCTTGGTGACTGATATGTGTCCGTGTTTTGTGGGTTTGTTCTAGTGGGCCTAGGTGATTGATATGTGTCCGTGTTTTGTGGGTTTGTTCTAGTGGGCCTTGGTGACTGATATGTGTCCGTGTTTTGTGGGTTTGTTCTATTGGGCCTTGGTGACTGATATGTGTCCGTGTTTTGTGGGTTTGTTCTAGTGGGCCTTGGTGACTGATATGTGTCCGTGTTTTGTGGGTTTGTTCTAGTGGGCCTTGGTGACTGATATGTGTCCGTGTTTTGTGGGTTTGTTCTAGTGGGCCTTGGTGACTGATATGTGTCCGTGTTTTGTGGGTTTGTTCCTAGGTTGGGCCTGTGATATGTGTCCGTGTTTTGTGGGTTTGTTCTAGTGGGCCTTGGTGACTGATATGTGTCCGTGTTTTGTGGGTTTGTTCTAGTGGGCCTTGGTGACTGATATGTGTCCGTGTTTTGTGGGTTTGTTCTAGTGGGCCTTGGTGACTGATATGTGTCCGTGTTTTGTGGGTTTGTTCTAGTGGGCCTTGGTGATTGATATGTGTCCGTGTTTTGTGGGTTTGTTCTAGTGGGCCTTGGTGACTGATATGTGTCCGTGTTTTGTGGGTTTGTTCTAGTGGGCCTTGGTGACTGATATGTGTCCGTGTTTTGTGGGTTTGTTCTAGTGGGCCTTGGTGACTGATATGTGTCCGTGTTTTGTGGGTTTGTTCTAGTGGGCCTTGGTGACTGATATGTGTCCGTGTTTTGTGGGTTTGTTCTAGTGGGCCTTGGTGACTGATATGTGTCCGTGTTTTGTGGGTTTGTTCTAGTGGGCCTTGGTGACTGATATGTGTCCGTGTTTTGTGGGTTTGTTCTAGTGGGCCTTGGTGACTGATATGTGTCCGTGTTTTGTGGGTTTGTTCTAGTGGGCCTTGGTGACTGATATGGTGACTTGATATGTGTCCGTGTTTTGTGGGTTTGTTCTAGTGGGCCTTGGTGACTGATATGTGTCCGTGTTTTGTGGGTTTGTTCTAGTGGGCCTTGGTGACTGATATGTGTCCGTGTTTTGTGGGTTTGTTCTGTGTATGTGTCCGTGTTTTGTGGGTTTGTTCTAGTGGGCCTTGGTGACTGATATGTGTCCGTGTTTTGTGGGTTTGTTCTAGTGGGCCTTGGTGACTGATGTGTCCGTGTTTTGTGGGTTTGTTCTAGTGGGCCTTGGTGACTGATATGTGTCCGTGTTTTGTGGGTTTGTTCTAGTGGGCCTTGGTGACTGATATGTGTCCGTGTTTTGTGGGTTTGTTCTAGTGGGCCTTGGTGACTGATATGTGTCCGTGTTTTGTGGGTTTGTTCTAGTGGGCCTTGGTGACTGATATGTGTCCGTGTTTTGTGGGTTTGTTCTAGTGGGCCTTGGTGACTGATATGTGTCCGTGTTTTGTGGGTTTGTTCTAGTGGGCCTTGGTGACTGATATGTGTCCGTAGTGGGCCTTGGTGACTGATATGTGTCCGTGTTTTGTGGGTTTGTTCTAGTGGGCCTTGGTGACTGATATGTGTCCGTGTTTTGTGGGTTTGTTCTAGTGGGCCTTGGTGACTGATATGTGTCCGTGTTTTGTGGGTTTGTTCTAGTGGGCCTTGGTGACTGATATGTGTCCGTGTTTTGTGGGTTTGTTCTAGTGGGCCTTGGTGACTGATATGTGTCCGTGTTTTGTGGGTTTGTTCTAGTGGGCCTTGGTGACTGATATGTGTCCGTGTTTTGTGGGTTTGTTCTAGTGGGCCTTGGTGACTGATATGTGTCCGTGTTTTGTGGGTTTGTTCTAGTGGGCCTTGGTGACTGATATGTGTCCGTGTTTTGTGGGTTTGTTCTAGTGGGCCTTGGTGACTGATATGTGTCCGTGTTTTGTGGGTTTGTTCTAGTGGGCCTTGGTGACTGATATGTGTCCGTGTTTTGTGGGTTTGTTCTAGTGGGCCTTGGTGACTGATATGTGTCCGTGTTTTGTGGGTTTGTTCTAGTGGGCCTTGGTGACTGATATGTGTCCGTGTTTTGTGGGTTTGTTCTAGTGGGCCTTGGTGACTGATATGTGTCCGTGTTTTGTGGGTTTGTTCTAGTGGGCCTTGGTGACTGATATGTGTCCGTGTTTTGTGGGTTTGTTCTAGTGGGCCTTGGTGACTGATATGTGTCCGTGTTTTGTGGGTTTGTTCTAGTGGGCCTTGGTGACTGATATGTGTCCGTGTTTTGTGGGTTTGTTCTAGTGGGCCTTGGTGACTGATATGTGTCCGTGTTTTGTGGGTTTGTTCTAGTGGGCCTTGGTGACTGATATGTGTCCGTGTTTTGTGGGTTTGTTCTAGTGGGCCTTGGTGACTGATATGTGTCCGTGTTTTGTGGGTTTGTTCTAGTGGGCCTTGGTGACTGATATGTGTCTGTGTTTTGTGGGTTTGTTCTAGTGGGCCTTGGTGACTGATATGTGTCTGTGTTTTGTGGGTTTGTTCTAGTGGGCCTTGGTGACTGATATGTGTCTGTGTTTTGTGGGTTTGTTCTAGTGGGCCTTGGTGACTGATATGTGTCTGTGTTTTGTGGGTTTGTTCTAGTGGGCCTTGGTGACTGATATGTGTCCGTGTTTTGTGGGTTTGTTCTAGTGGGCCTTGGTGACTGATATGTGTCCGTGTTTTGTGGGTTTGTCCTAGTGGGCCTTGGTGACTGATATGTGTCCGTGTTTTGTGGGTTTGTTCTAGTGGGCCTTGGTGACTGATATGTGTCCGTGTTTTGTGGGTTTGTTCTAGTGGGCCGCGGTGACTGATATGTGTCCGTGTTTTGTGGGTTTGTTCTAGTGGGCCTTGGTGACTGATATGTGTCCGTGTTTTGTGGGTTTGTTCTAGTGGGCCTTGGTGACTGATATGTGTCCATGTTTTGTGGGTTTGTTCTAGTGGGCCGCGGTGACTGATGTGAATATTTTCTGTTATTGTTGTCGTTTAATACTACAAATGAATCTACTTAACAGACACAGACTTTATTGCATGTGTATTCCATTCCATACATGCTGGATTGTATCTAGGTTTTAAGATTGTTTCTATAAGAAAATATCCATAAGAAAATTATCTAAAAACATTCTTTCTTAAAAAATATTTATTTAGAATTTGGAAGCGCGAAATTATGACAAAAATGACTGCATTACCACCGAAAAATATTACATGTATATATTTTTACCTTGTTATTAAACGACTAAAACATAAAATGAAGTGCATTCTGACCAATCCGTTCTTTATGTTATGGATTTATAGTAAAAATAATTAATCTTTATAATTTAATCACAGCCGAGAAATTTTCAAATATGTCATACATTGCTGCCTTCACCTTCCTGTAGAAAAAAAAATTGCTTTGAATTAATATAGAACAAAAAAAACGGCATACATGTAGATACAAAGACGCATCTGATGTTAAAACAGTGGTGTGCTGTAAAAAAATAACCTTCGGAGGTAATGATATGTTTGATTTTCGTTAGTTTCTCTGGAGGTTACGTTGTTGTTACCTTGTTCTCATTTGGGAACGTGACATTAATTGCTTTGATTGACCAACTTAAGGTCTTATTCTCCTTGTAATATTTTCATAATTTTCCTTGTAAATCTCTTTTGTTCATCGAATCAATGCTGTTCTGTTGACATGTGTTTATTTCTTGTTGTGATTAGATCTTAAACACTTTCCCAATAATTCTAAGCTGCTGTAACTTATTCAAAGTATATGCAATGTATACATACAATATCAACCGTTTACATCTGCGTATTTTCTAGGGCTTAATTGTGTTTGTAGCATTATTTCCCTTGTGACTGATTGTAAGTAAACATTGTAAGTAAAGTTGTATCCTTATGTTTAAAATATAGTGAACTTGGATGCTGTGCCGAATTCCGGAGGGCAGGATGTATGTAACGGGGTCATCAGCCTTTCCAAAGACAACTCGTCCAAAGTTATAGCCACCGAACGTGTTTCCCACGGTTACTGTGACGTCACGTACCGAACACTCTCAGACGCCAAGAACCATTGCAACCGTCTGTGCTTCACACCTAAAAGTGATTCATGCGAAAAGCATATTGACCTTACCATCGTCGTATTTTCTCTGGAGAACAAAAATAATGCGAAGGTTAGTCAAGTGACGTCATCGCTGGATTTTTTGACGTACTTCTAGATGATTGTTCTCTTACAAGTCAAAAACATCACTAGCTTGGGAAAGTTTAAGCAAAATTAAATCAAAATTATTAACATAGTTTAAATGTTTAAATGCATGAGACACGCAAAGGTTTAAACCTGAAGTGGAATCATAAAGGACCAAGACATGTTGGTACGAAGAAATATCATGAGCATGCCATTAGCTGATTTAACCTTTAGGGAAGTAGAATCTACGTTGGTATATATACTACACGTTGTATATATATAATCAATTTAATTTTTCAGCATATATACTAATCAGATGATCAAAATTGGCTACCATCCAGATTCTTTCCATAAATATTTATGTTATTATACACAATGTACAAAATGCATATGGGTTGAATTAGTTATGGATATTGAAATGTCAATGGCGCACCGTACCAAGTATTTGTAGACTCCGAGGAGACAATTCCATTGACCTGACCTATAAGTTGTAAAACATTTCTTTGGTGTCCTGCTTTGCTATATTGATTGTAGCGACATTATCAACATTGTGTATATGACAGCTTGATTCTGTACGAAAATGATGGCACATTTATGGCCTTTCACGATGACATCCAGCACTATACTGTCAGGTTTACCATTTGATATGTGATTTATGAAGCAGGTTTATGGGTCCTTTATTTTAGTGAGCATTTTTTTATTTCATAACTTACATATCAAACGGAAACAAAATCAAGACCCATATTGCAATTTCTGTGTGTGATATCATTTCATAACATATCCTATCTGTAGAACAAGCCAATTTTGAACTGATTTAAGTCTAATGCTCATGTTAAAAGGTAAACAAACAAGAAAAAGTCATCATTCCTCCGTCAAAGTGCAAACAAACAAAATAAATAATTATTATGATTTCCCATAAATTTATTCGTTAAATCAATAAAACCCAAGCACTCGAAAACCTCTTACTAAAACCACCCAATATGCAAATTGTACGTCCGTCTGTCCATATTTCAGATTTACGGATGTCAGGACTTTCCGGGAAAGAAATGGTGCATGACCACCACGTCGATGAAGGTCGCTGTCTTGGAACATACGAGAAGCGTCGCCACGAAGCCCGCCGACCAGATTTACAAGTTTGAGGCCGACGTGAAGCCAGAGTGTACTGAGATCAAAGACATTTTCTGTATGTACCTGTGCGACCTGTGGTGTCGATAGTAAAAATAATGGGTGTTCCCACTAATACAAAGGGCGTAACTAGCGGCAGGTCCAGGATAATGAAAAGGTGTTAGGGGGGAGGGGGATGCAAAAACATATTTTGGAAAAGCAGGACATCCAGAACAAGAATACAGCCGACTCAGATGAAAATTATCAGCGAGAAAAAATAATCTATATGCAGAAATGAAACATTTGAAATCTTTGCGTAAATATCATTGCCTTAAAGCTTGTATTTTATGTGCCCTGTCACTAATGTCCAGATGTTAATGGCAATTCAACTACAAATGTACCTTATACTCCATCTCGTACAAAGCTGTCTCCAGTTTCTTAGCTTTTGCTGACACTGACAATGTGTCTTCAGGACCAATGTCAAGAATCTTATTGATATTTCTTTGCTTGATCAATAAAAAAAAATAGGATATTTTCTAGCTCTATGTTACTCTCAAATATAATCATCGGCGCTTTTGATTGTGTATCGGGCGGACGACAGACTGACATGCTATCTAACAATTCATCCGTCTTTGGTTTTAGATTTCATGTAGATAAGTATTGCCGATACTTCACTGACTGATCAGAAAAAACAACATCAAATATACAAGGTCGACGAAAAATGTTGCTGAAGTATTTTACGTCAATATTTGTCTAGCCTGTAACACAATCAGTTAAATATATCTTTTAAACTGGAGTGACGCTTACTGCGGCGATTCTGAACCGATCGTATACATTTTTGTAGGGTCAATTATCCATCATCTATTCTTGATCATTGTCACATTCCCTCGACAGCTAAGGACTGGATTACCTCTAACGAGACAAAGCGGTACAGGGCTAAGGTGGAGGGAATAGTTGTCGGCTGCTGCCTTGCACTCATCTTCCTTGTCGTACTCTGTGTCATGTTCTTTTACTACAAATCCAAACCCAACCAGAACCCTCTAGACGACAATACCGTCAAGGTCAAAGGTAAGCGATGACATGGGTTTCGGGCCGATATATTTATGTTTAATTTGGGTATTTTTAACATATGTTGTTCTTCGTTTTGATTTTTTTAACAATCTTGATTCTGGAAAATATTTAAAATGTCTAAAGATCTGAATCACAAAAGAAATCGATGAATGCCCCGATCGTTTCTCATCTAAATATCATGATTATAATATGTGTACAAAAACCCCAAAATAACAAAAGAGGTATGGACATTTTTTCCTACGTTTTTTCATACATTTTTTGTTTTGGTGGGGGTGGGGGGAAGGGGGGTTCTAATATTCATTCCAGATTGTATCGATGTCAGATTGTATATTTCGTAATGTATACAGTGATTTTTAATTTGTGTGGATTGACATTCTTATTATCAATGCTTAACTATGTCAAATATAAAACTGATTCAGGTGTTTTCGTTGAAATTAATACATTGTATATAATTCTATAATGATATACTCCTAACACAAACATGTCTATTGTAAATGAAGTAGAAAATGCATGATAACTTTATATCGTCATTTCTTGTTTTGATGTTACACATGTATCACGTGCGGTGATGTTAATTATTACTTACTAGAGTCGGGAGGTTTCTACTAGTTCCTGTATGTCTGAACAAAATCAGGTAACAATTCTGCGCCTGAGTGATCCTTGTATTCCCAACGTGTTCTTGTTGATTGAAATTTAAAGTTAGAATTGCGTTCTTAATGTGTGAAAATGTTTTCATTTGACATGAAATACATAACGTTGATGGAAAGTTACAATCCATTTCTCCTAGAGTCTACAAGAATTACCTAAGAAACACAACTCCTTAAACAGGATTGGTTAAATCATAGGAATTTGTTCTTGACCGCAAGTCAGTTTAACAACTGAATCCGTGTAGAAAATATTCGGTTTACGTTTAAAATGTCACAATAAGCGGAATATCATAATATCCTATACATGATAATTGGGATTCACTGTAAAAACAATAACTTTCACGAAGTTTAAAGGTTGTTATATAAAGGGAGATTATCCTACTTGTCACTACCGGTAGTTCAGACGAGACCCTTGAATTATTTGACGCCATGAAAATGTTTTCTCTTAAGAACGTTTCGTGTTACGTGAGGTGGAACGATAAGCATCAAAATGACATAAATATATTCTGCCAGTAACTTACAATTACTTGTCTTAGACGTCACACATTTGTACGTGTCATTTAACGTCGTCTGTATCAGTGCCACAACTCCGTCTAAGGAAAAATATTAGAACTCTTTTGTGAGGGAGACGCCGTAAGGCATATTCGTCTTTTAAATGCTGTAAGTGTAACTATATTTTTATAAAGGGATTAGCATGCATGTAATTAGATATGCATTGGTATTTTATTTATCAAACATTAGTGACAAGATAGCATAGTTAAATAGCATGGCAAAGTCTGTATAAATTTTCTCCGTACCTAAATAAGTTGAATCCATACCGTAAGTACATATAGTTCTAGTGGTTTTTACATTGGATTTCCGTGTGTGTTGCATGCTCAGATAATTCTATCATTATTATCATTATTATCGTTCTTATTAATAATGTTATTAGTATCATCATCATCATCATCATCATCATCATCATCGTCGTCGTCGTCGTCGTCGTCGTCATCATCATCATCATCATCATCATCATCATCATCATCATCATCATCATCATCATCATAATCATCATCAACATCATCATCATAATCATCATCATCAACATCATCATCATAATCATCATCATCATCATCATCATCATCATCATCATCATCATCATCATCATCATCATCATCATTTTTTTTTTTTTACTTCTACGAATATTAATATTATTATCATTATTATTATTATAATCATTATCATTATGTGTATAACATGTGTTAACGACAAGATACCTGTCATTTGATCAGCTTCTTGATTGTTTAACATTTTTTATCGAATGACAAAATGTGTTTAATATTGATATTTAATGGAATCAACCGTTCTTCGTCAACGTAAAATAAGTCTCGTCATTTGCACGTGTCTTCATGCATGAAGCTTTACTGTCGGTTTCATAGTATTTCCCTTGCATTGTTTGTTGCGGTTCAATGACACAAGCAGTTCATGACCGCTTCAACCATAAATTCAAAAGCTAGTTATGCCACGACTGGTTGCATGTTTGACCTAGTCACACAAAAAAAGTTATTAATGACAACCTGAACCGACAAAATTTTTTTTCTTGATAATGTAAACCGACAAGTAATTGGATTGACAAATTAATGACTTCCTGAACTCATGCAGTGTATGGTGGCAATATCATCTTTCACATTTTTAGAACATCTCCAAAGTTTCGCCGTTAATCATTCTCGGAAATCGGGAGCATTGTGTACAAAATACAATAACATGTTTATATCACGTGTTTAGCAATTTCATTTAAGTAACTATGACCCGTACCTGGTTGTTAGTTCTGTGGAGACATTGTTTAACTCCAATCTAAACTCTGCAATGCTGCTATGCTCAATGACTATCGCATACCACAAATATATATCTAAATTCTAAAGAAAAAAAGCGATAGTCAGTATTCAGGAATATGAAGCCGCATGCACGGCCCAGCGTACCCTATCAGAATATCACTTCAAGTCAAATGAACGCTGTTTACCATGTCCATGGGTATATTTCCATGTTTAGAAAACTGGTTTATTTCTGTACGCTGCTGCAATAAAATGTCTTTTTTTTTTTCATTTTTCCAGTAAACGCTTTCACTGGTATCCGAGAGACCTTTAAGGTGGGAAAAAGGAAACGGAAACCATCCAAACGAAATTCCAGACCACCGTCCCGACAGCCATCTATCATGTCACACCGTTCGGGAATTTCCGCTAGCTACGAAGCTGCCCGTAGAATGTCGGAGCCACGAACCGAACTGACGCCACCGGAAATGATGCTTGTACCAAATGGAACCGAAGTAACCGATTCCACGTCCACACTTCCGGTGGAATCGGAAACGAAACCACTGTGTGCCGACATCCCATAAATCACTTCCTGGTGTGGAAATATGTTAAATAAAACGTTCGGGTCCATTCTATAATCCAGTTCATAAGGCTGGACACATCATACAAAAATGTTTGATGTATCGATTTAAAGGGATATTCTGCATAAGTTCGGATTTCATGGGATGCTTTTGAAGAAAACTGTACCAAATCATCTACTTATGTTCTTATAGAAATCGTACACTTCAATTTACCATTTATACAAACATATAATGTTTATTTTGCGAAATTCTTTATAGATCTAGCTAAAAACCCAAGCAGAAATTTAAGTGAATAGTATGCACACCTGTGTATCTACCCCAATACTCTGCAAAAAATCTGTGATCTAGTGACCTTTTAGTTCCGGATTTCCTGACGCATTAAAGTTAGAAGGCTTAGCTGGAATATCCACGTATTTCGCCTGTCCAAACTGACCAGAGGAGAAATGAATCATTAGAATGAGTTCTCAAAAGGTACAGAACAATTAAAAATTTTGCGACTTGGGCGGAATATCCCTTTTACGATTTACGGAGTAAAATGATGAGAGATTTTGCTCAAGTTTATAAATAGTAAGGAAGCCATCGAGCCAGATATCTTTCATACAGAAAAAAATGTCAAATTGTAACAAAAAAATTTAATGGGAATTTTACAAATTATCATTTTAATCATTCTTGTTTTTACTGCTTGGTGTGCCTACCTGAATTGGACAGGCGATATAAACCCAAGAAAGATAACTCTGCTTAAATCAGAAACCCTGCGGATAAAGGGAGGCTATCAAATATTTTCATTCTATGCACGGAAGAATCAGCGCTCAAACAAACGATAGAAAAAAAATATAATTTGACATTTCATTCAGATTAAAATACTTATCGTATAACTAAGAGTTTCGTTCTCATTCCCATCGTCCAAATCTATTTAACCTGATAGATGTCTGTCCCGGAGTTATAAACCTAATGATATACTACAACACATTTACGACTTAGCTTAGTAACTATGGTTACAACGTATTTCTAAACACGTAAATAAATCTATTTAAGGCCTCTATATTAACGGTAGGATTAAGGTTTTTTATGTTGGGTTGTCTTGCAATATTGTTAAGGAAGGATAGATAGAACAGTGGTTTTATAAAAACAAATACTACGAACGGCACGTCGTTGATATCGACCGACACCAATCTAAACTGAAGGTTAAGGTGTCATTTTTTCATTTCTTAATCACATATGGTATACAAAAGTATCGTACAAATGTCAAAACTTGAATGAGTGTATGTCTGTGATGAACTGTTTATGCAATGGTATTATGTAAATAGTTTGTATTTTTGCACCCAGTTTTTTAATATCCGTTTACGGACCTTCCATTTACATTGTGTTTTTGATATTTGTATAAACTTAAGTGTAACAATTCGATCCAGATTGTGATGTGGAAGCTCTCCCTACAACTCATAAAAAACAACAATGATGTTGATTCATCGGAGGCGTTATTCAATGCTAAAAGCCAAGACACCGATATTCTATGTAACAAAGGGAGATAAATTACTTAGCAGTACATTCTGTGATTCTTTCATTGATCGTACGCAGAACTTTTAATCAAATTTCAGTACAAATGTGCATTTAATAAATCGATAATTAATTTTCACTGAATACTTTATCTAACGGGAAAAATCAGGCGGAAAAATAATCATTAGAAAAGTAATGGAACAAGTCTTATGACTGTATCGCAACTGATATTTTCTACATTGTGTAAGTTTATTACGTTCATTTCACCATCTATATATAAGTCACGTGATTAGATGGCTATAACATGCAGAAATGTACATATACGGCAGGAATACGTAGAAATTTTGCATAATTGTTTCTTTTCTTATTTGCAGTAAGGAATTGAAGTTGATTTTTTATTTTACTTTTGTTGTTGTGGTTTTTTTTGTCCAATATACATACACACCTTTTTGATGTTTTATCATTAACTTCAAACTTGCCAGATTATATAATGTATATTTCAATGACGTCATGTTATGGTGCAGGTAATGTGTCACAATATACCTGTAATTATATATGCATATGTAAATGGAATAATATTTCATATTCATATGTAAAGAATGTTACCAGCAATTTTTTTCATATGCAATGTTATTATTGCATAGACAAGATAATGATAAAGAGTATGTTGAAAATATACAAATAACCCTTTGGCATTTCTCATGTTTTCCATGCACGAGCTTACTAGAGAATAAAGAAACCAATAAAATTGATTCGTCGACATCCGTAACTCCTTCGGTATACAAAATTATATTATTATTTTTTTTTATGCAAGAATATTTGTGACATACCTTCTTCCACACCATATCATTTCACTGTACATATTATGGAGACGTAGATTTGTTTGTTTCAAACGGGAATTCGCACGTGAAGACTGTTTTATCGTTGTGTAACTTCAAATAAGGACGGCATTCATTGGCTGACGGTGATTGGTTACTATGACGATATTTTTTTATCTGTTGTATTTCGCTCCTTCTGTGATTTGTTAATATTCCTTGGATATGAAAGACAAAACTGAGATATAATCAATTCCGGAACTACAAACCGATCTTTTATGGATTTGCCTTTTGTAATATAGATTAGATATATTAACTCATTTCCTAATTAAAGCTGATGTTAAAACGTATTTGTTGAATTTTAGAAATGAAAAACATATAATATGTATCTTCCATACTTGTACATAAACTTTTACTTGTAGAGATCCGCATAATATCTCTCAAAATAACGATGCTATAAATATATCCCCAGTGATGTGTGACGATTACGAACTGTCAATGTTACTTTGGTAATTCACGTTTCACTTTTGTCACACTTGAAGATACTTGGATTCTTCTACGCACTTATCGTTAAAAGGAGTTTGTTCTCGGCTAACCGGGTACATATCACTAGGACAGTCAATATTAAATATGACATCGTTGACATAGTCTAATTATTTGCTTTAATAAATCAAAGTGCTTATAATTAAAAAGGGATATTGTTAAAAATGCACCATTTATCGGATACGTGTTTCAAAGATCATTTTTTCCAAATTTGGCGTCTGGTCCGTCAATTTGTAGTGCAAAGTTTTTAACCAAATTTTAACCTCTTGAATCACAAGAACTTGACAGAAAACTATAAAAATACACTCAATTCCATTTAATACAGTTTATTCGCTCATTACTAAACCTTTTCAATACACATAGTCGTACCAGCTTTAACAAAATTATGATGTCACAGTATTAATATCATTATGAGGTTGTAATCAAAGTCGAGTCGGCCAATGAGAGCATCTTCAGTAGTTTGATGATAACAAAGACAAATAGACTGACAATAATGTTTTTGCACACTACAGATGTAAACCACGGATTTAGATAAAGATATAAACATCTAATTCCGTATGTAAACAAGTGATTTTAAGTATTTATGTAACTAATTATCTTATTGCCTGAAAAGTTTCCATTAAGATTATATGAATATACAGTAGTACCATTTCCATTAAAAGTCGATTTCATTATGATTGAATCTAAGGTGTGTGTTGTACATGAAATATTGTCAGAAAGCCTGTTGGTTTTAGTTGAAATACATTTAAACATTTCCTTTTCTTCTTGCTTAAACTTTTTGACATTAAAGACATTTCTAAAACAACCGTGTTGTTTTGTTTACCGAATACTCTTCGAAACTAATTAAACTAATGCATTTCGTAAAAACTATTGCCTTGGTATTACATTTTACCCTATTTTCTGTCTTGATTTGAGTTAACGAGAAATATGAAGCCAGAAACAGGACACCGGATTAGAGTTAATGTGTTTATATGATAATCTCGTTTCAGGTATTCAAGTTTCCATCAGAAAGATAGTGTCAATATCGATCCCCTGCGATACTGTCTGGTGTAACAATTATTATAAACACTCCTCTGCTATGTACAATTTGTGTTTCTCAGTACTAACAATTACCGTTTGATGAAAAGCTAATTCATTTATCCAATATTTCCCTTTATATTCTTTCTCAAAATCATTTCATTATTTATTGTAATATGTGGCGTTATCTTCGGGCCGTTGGAGACCGGTGTCTACCGGTGATTATTTCATCTCCATAGAAATATGAAATCAGCTATAGCTTTTTCGCTACAAGTCGAAAGAATTCCTTTATAAACAAATGTGTATCGGACACATGTAGTACCGTACTGACTCGCCTACAGCTGTAACAAACACCACGCTTTCATACAGAAAGGCAGAGCGAATATCAACCCATGCCCTGCCAAATACACATTGTAATAACAATCCCTACTTACTACAGACTAGAGACATTTGTTACAGAGGAAAACCCCACACATCATACACTGGCTATGTAAGCGCACCACGCAGCTGTCCTGTAATCAATGAAGAGCGGCTTTGTCCGACACGCGAGCGGCGCGCACCGAGAAAGCCTGACCATCGATTCTTTTCGTTTGTGGAATTTTGTTTATTGGAGAATGTAAGTATTGGTGATAGGACTACTTTCGTGGTTGTAGAACGATATTCCGAGAAACGATTTTTTCACGGATGGTTTACTGTTTATATTATTTCGACCATTTTGGTGTATTGTCTGATATAAAGAAGGTTCATTTGTATGTTTTCCGACATAGCATTACATTGTCTCGATAGACGCCAATTCTTTTTTGTGGAATCCTTAACGAACATGTCGTGTTGATCATATAATAAAACTAACAAAGAGATCAGTTTGCATTATGTCTGATTGTGATCGACGCGTCTTTCGAAATTTTGTAACAAAAAGATTTGTTATCGATTGGTCAGTGTTGGTGAAACAAAGTTACCCAGCGATCCAGGTACTTTAATGCTTATTTTATGTTGAACAAAATCGAAACAGTTCGAACACAGAAATGCTATCAAAAGATTAAGACGAGGATCAATTATCAAGAAAAAAACTCGGACAACGTCGAAAACCGCCGAAACACGATGTCATGTATGTGTCTTAAGTTCTCCGAACAGACAGGAGAAATAATCGAAAGGGAGGGGGGGGGGGGGCAAATTGTCTGTGGAGACGCTAGTCTGTTGGGGGAGTCGGGCATACATGGCTTTCCAATTTCCTGCCATATATACACTACAGCCGGACGTTCCCGTAAACTGCCGAGATTGCCCGATATGAGTCAGAGAGTGATGTAGAAAGGATGATGTAGTGTGTGTAGGGACACGTGGGACATTTTTAGACTGAGACGATGAGTCTGACATTCTGTACACTGTAGTGTATACAGAGACATGTGGGATATTTCTGGACTGAAAGGGAAATCTGACATTCTGTACATTGTAGTGTATACGGAGACACGTTGGGTATTTCTATACTATGAAGATAGTTTGACATTCTGTACATCGTATTGTATACAGAGACACGTGGGATATTTCTAGACTGAGAGGGAAGTCTGACATTCTATACATGGTAGTGTATACAGAGACACGTGGGATATTTCTAGACCGGAAAATCAGTTTACGCTCCAACATTTCCTTCTTTCGTCGTTTCTCTCCAAAAAAATATAACCGAGAATTAACCTTAATTATCGTCCTTTCGTTTTTTCGTCCGCACAAAAATTAGAATTGTCATAACTTAATTTTCGCCTTTACGGGGCGAAAAGACGGAAGGATGCTAATTAAAGCAAAGTTCGTGAATGTATGGTCCTTTACAAAGCCATGCCTCCGCGATCACAAATCATGTGTGTTCGTCTCCAGTAAGACTTTATATCAACATCAATAAAACAGTAAGAAAGAGATTGCGTTTAGGTTGGTATGAACACAATGAGAGTCGGTAACTACGGTACGCTTGATGAACAGTGGCATTCCTTCTTTATGTTACAGTGATCTAAATAACAAAACAAGAGGATTATAACATACGTACCGCAAAGAAAATGCCAACATGTCAACAGAATCTGAATTCAAACTCAAATCCATTGAGTACAGGGCGAAACATCGAAAAATAAAGAATACAAGGAGAATAAGACCATGTGTTCCGGAATAATAAGCGATTTCTGCTTCGTCGACGGTACCCTCAATAGAAATATTGGTCAATCTAAGAAAGTAATGCAAAGTTCCAACACGAGAACATGGTAAACAACAAAGAAACCACCGTGAAAGCAACTAACAAACAGAAAACGTTCAACTAAACAAAAAAATTAGAATGATTAGATTATTATGACGTCCGTTAAACTTCCACATGATCTTCATCAATCTGCATCTCTCGAAACCATGTGTTGTGAGTTATCTGTCAGTTATCGACTGCGATTATGGGAATAGGCACTGGAAGATCATGATGCATGATGTAGCTATTCATCAATGGGAAATTCACAAAAGGGAAATGGGAATTATTATGCTTCCAGGTTGAAAGTCCCCGCCATTTTGTCTTCTAATACATGCCGATTCAGTGGGAGAAAGTGAAGGTGCAGTCGTGAATCTAGAACTTGTTACCATAGTACCGACATGCGGGCTTCTTTTTCAAAACGAAGATTTATAATTATATAAACGGTTTAGATGTGGGCAAATTTGAATTATTTTGAATTCGATTGAATTTTAAGGTATAGTCATGTTTAACACCGACGGTCTACGTGATATCTGACCATTTAAAGAGATATTTTTCGTTGTTTTATATGTCATTTACTTGTGTAGCTCTTCTTGATATCCTTTATATTTTGTTTCAGCTATTGCTAAGCTTCAAAATATCGCATAACAATTATGATTAAAAATCTAGATTCCTTTATCATATCAAGCGTATCATAAAATCTAATTGCATCACATGATCAGTACACCTGGTGGGTATACGTATGACAGGACTCCATTGATGATAATCGCAAAACTTACATCTGTCACTCAAATTTTTGTAGCTATTTTACTTTCGGTGAATTAATTTGTGACACTCGCCATTATCATCACCATCCGTGTAATTTTGTCATACCCAATCAATTGTCAATTCTGATTCTGTTGCAATCCATACTTTCGGTTATAAAAATAAATCTCATATTTTACTGAACACAATTCAACAACAGTAAACATTGAAATTATTTCCTGACAAATTCGTACAATATCAAGTGTTCCTTTGGAATCCCAGTAAAAGGCTGAAAACTTAGCATGAAGAGATCTTCTACTTTGTTTATAGTCTGTTTTGTTTTCTGGTTACAGGTGTAAAATGTACTTTAACGTAATATATTGGTAAAGTACGGAAGCGTATTCTGGCCACGTTGTGTTTTATTTTATCTCGAAATTTCGAGATAACAACTCGAAATTTTGAGTCAGTAATCAGAAATTTTGAGTAAGTAATAACATCTCGAAATTTCGGATTACTAACTCGAAATTTCTAGTTACTATTTCAAAATTTCACGTTGCTATCTCGAAATTTGGGGTTAATATCTCAAAATTGCGGAGTGTCGAAATTTCGAGTTAAAATAAAACACAACGTGGCCGGAATACACTTCTGTAGTAAAGCGAAGAGATAGAACGAAAATTAAGGTATGTATTTTTTTTTTTTTTTTTTAGCGTCATCGCTTACAAACACGCTTCTTGCTTACAAACACGCTTCCTGCTTACCAACACAATGTAGGAATATGTAATCTCTCCTTACAGCGTGCAGTAAATATTCACCGGCTCGTCAGCGTCTTTCTTTTCAATTCCATAACATCCTTTATCGTTGACGGTGTTGTCTAAAAACCAATAATTTTAAAACGGTAAAAATAATAATGAATGGAAACTCGCGTTGACATTTGAGCTTGAAAGACGTAATATGCCCTCTCCAGACTTTAATTACGCGAAAGCAAACGATTACTGATAAAGCTGTAGGCCAAACAACGAAAAATCCCATTAGCGTTCCCACTGACACCTCAGTAGGGGCTCGTTGATCCGTGTCAACATCTGTTGACTAACAAGGGGCCAGCGAATCCCTTCTTTAAACCCATTGAACGGACACCATACGCAGCTTTAAAAGAGGCCTTCGAAGGGGACAAGTGTTGTTACTGTGAGCAAAAGCAAATATATATCATATCGTGAATTATTTGTAATAAAACTTTCATGTTAAAATTTTGAGATGGAGTAACAATTTCATACGAGCTTTTGAAACAAGATGATTGGTTCGGCAGTTTATATTACGAATTTCCCCTTGCTACCCCCTCAGAGAATACCCTGTAGAAATGTAGTGTAAGCAGTGCTTTGGTGACGTAGGCTGAATCGACAAAGATGCTAGATGCGTGAAGTAAATAGGTCGCATATTCCATTAGCGCATGTGTGTATAGATTCCATTTACAAGGTCCGAGTTAGGGACGCTGCAAGGTCAAGATAGAGGTATGTATATTCTGTGTCAATTGTTATATTTGCTAAAAGTGTAGAGTAACAAAAGAAGACGCCATTTTTCAAGTATTCGATGTCCATTTCTTTTGTAAATGGTCAAGTATAGCCTGGCAAACAACGCCGGTTAACGACGATGAGAAAGCATGTGAAAGGGGGAGTATTGACAATATGTAAAATCAATCATTATTGTTTAGTCATCATTGCATAAATTAGTTGATATATTTATCGTTAACTGGGGATTTCAGGCTAAACGAATATTGATTAAAAATGGTCACTTATTCATATAGAAGCAGGCACGTGGTCGTAATTGAAATTTTATACATGACTTATAATTTAATTTCAATTAGTAGTAACAGAGGCGATCGTCAATATAATCGTAAGTTATCGTATTTTTAAGGTTGGTTTGAAATGAGTGTTAGCTTTGGATATTTCAGTATTCGTCTTTCCAAAAATAGCACCGCCGAGATTGAAATGTTAAGGGTCATTCTTCTGCTTGTCAACATTACTAAATCGTATCGGTGTACATCGAAAACAATTGTTTTCCTGCTCTGGGCATGTTTACAGTGATGAATATTTAATTTTAGATAGCCATGTAATCGCGTGATATGAGAGATCAATTGATTTACGAGGATTAAATTCGCTCACACAAAAAGCTGCTGTGGCTGGAACATAACGACTAAAGTCTGTTTCAGAAAACTGCCTCTTGCTCAAGTTAAAAGTTTGAACGAGAAGGGGCGTTGTTTCTTGTTACATATGCTATGAAGATTGAGGTGAATATAACACTACACAAAAAAATATACACACATGCTTCCATCTGATCTGTTTAGTAAATTGTTTGATATACTGTTTGTAATATTTAAAAAGTATTAAATTGTATATAGCAGTCGTGTTGCTCTAAATGTATATTGTATGATTAATGCTGTGTGCCGTGTGGTACTTCTGCTGTGTGATTAAAGTGCGCACCACTGTACAATGTATACTGTTCTATAATTACACAGACATGTACACAAATTGTGACCAAGTTTCCATTACAAAGCCTCCAACAGGGATTTTCACTATTTTTAGGCGCGTGTAGGGATTTTTTCTTCACAAATTTAGACGAGATGTGCCTGTCAACTCTTTTCGTTTCAAACATTTTATATTTTCAAGAAGCTTAGTTATAAGTGTTTAATATTTTGATGTTTAATATATCTTAGGCTTTGCTTCACGGAATTATGCCACTGGCAAAACTACGAAAATAAAAGGTCACTAAATTTTCGCAATTTACAGTATACGGTGATACTTATGTAACATCGCTTGTAGTACATTTAAAAAAACTTCTATGTACATTTATTTAGAGAAGTTTACTTAACATTCCAATGATTCTACACTGCCTAATCACAATACTGTGAAATCGTACTATCATAGCCAGGTGGCCTCGGACTTCGGACTCCCGACTGTGTGCCGATTACATATGTATTATGATTATGTCGTGATTAGACCCGTGCTAAAAGGGATGATTATCACTGATTAAGTACGACCGGATATTTGGTGTCGGTTTTCGTTTTGTGGCCTGATGTGGAATTCCAAATATTTATTTACACCTGTAGTAACACAACGGACTAGTCATTTATTGTCCACTTGTAATCGGCCTCTGGCAATGTTGGTGACCACTGACCATAGCAAAACATAGACTACGTAAACACGAAACAATGATTGATGGGTCGGAGGGGGGGGGGGACACGTGTAAGATGGTGACACTGTTGTGTTGTCCAGTGAATATGTGGAACAAATTAATAAATTTCTTCATGACTCATACGTATTTTATCTGAATTACACGTGCCAACACTTTGCTACATGTATTTAGAGTCCACATGTATCTCATAGCTGACTGCTGTTCTAGTATGTTATACATTTTGATAACTGACCATCGTCCGTGTTTGTCCGTCCGTTTCGTTTTGTTATTTTTAACAGCGAATGACGCTGCATTCACTTCAACATTAACTACATAAACATTTATATGTATTTTGTATCATGATCATACTTACATCGTTTATTACAGAATGACAATAGCGACTGACGATTCACAGTATATAATATGATCACAACTTTGGTTGAAATCACATATAGTCATTACTTTTCTGGCGACTGTTTCTACATTTGTGTTGAACTCCTAATTACAAATTCTATCGTCACACCAATACTTGTTAAGTGGTTAACTATAAGCAAGAGCATATTTGGTACGTGTTTTCAATTGAGATTTTAACATATTATTAACAGTCAATTGGACTTTGTTTATAAGTTGTTGTCTAAGTTTTGCATTTAATTCCACATTGAGCTTAATTTTTCAATGTACGTAAGCAATCATTAAAAATAATGGCATATTTATAACTATACCAACACACATTTCAGATTCTGAATTCCACCCAGTTTACCGTTGATTATAGTTGGACTTTGTTAATTAATTGTACCATATTGAACTGTTTTCCGTTTAGCTCGTTCGGGAACTTAGTTTTTCTCTACCTATTCGTTATATCCCGATGATAGGAAGAGACGGGAACACACGAGACATAATTACGTGTAATTCTTTTTCTAGGAAAACCATTAGGGATTGCAATACATTTCCATAGATATAGCGACTTAATTCACCGTATATAACTGGCTTATTGGATTTATATCGATTTTCAATAATTCATCATTGTATACGAATGGTTGGGCAGAATATAACAGGACCATTCATCCTACAGGCTTATCCGTAAAATCAACACATGTATCATTTCTGTAATACAGTGATAAGTCAACACAGCATTCTGGGATTGACTGCAGAGCTCCTATAGAGACCCAATATTTCACAATAAAAATGTTAATGAATTAGCATAAAGATTTTAGGGCCGAATATATGTTGCTCTTTAGATCGGATTTAATTAAAAAGCGGACATGACATTCTTTTCTATCCACAATATGTCTGCTTTTCATTTAAAACTACTTCTTCTGAACTGATGCGTTATTTTTGAAAATTGGAAATTGTAAGGTTTAATAAGGGTGATTTGCCTGAGAACGTAAAGGACTTCGTCTTGTCCTTTTGTACTTTGTTTTAAACCTCTTGTATACCAGTATTAGCGAACTTAATGATGTTTACAGTTAATCGTTATAAGTGAAATGTTTGTTATTTATCACTTTTGGCAACGCTTTATTTGCCAAATATTTGAAATTACGGAAACTAACTGTATGTAAATTGTCTTTAGAGAAGCAAAATTGAAGGTCAAAAATTCAACTTGGTAAAACAAAAAAGTAAAGGGACATTGCCTTTTAAGATAGGGTATTTACTTAATTTAGAGTGTTCATTAATTACCTGACCGAAACCAAATCAGTCTGACACTGAAAACATATCACTATTTATCACAAAGAGTAAAATAAAGGCTAATTGGGGAAACGACTTGTAGACGATGATGTTCGTTTGATATCTAGGGAAATTGATCATTATTTCAGCTGCATAAGAAATTACAACGTCCGGGAGAGAAAGCATATCGACACGAGGATGTAAATGTCTGTTGTCTAGCATATGTTTAGCACATCTGAAACATCTAATAATTCACTGATGTCTCTCTCACCTACTCTGTTAGGTCTGTTCGAGATTAAGGTCAACTTTAGCATTAAGGAATTCTCTTTAATTGGTCATTTACCTTGAATTTACATATGTTGCATATGAGCATGGCACCGCAATATGAAGTTTTGTTTTTGAAGAATAAATCATAATATTACAAATAAACTATCGAGACAAAATTGACCTTTTATAGAACGTTTAGAGAATGTGGGCCTGTACAATTGGAGATATATGTATATATACATTTTAAGTAACCAGCCGAAATATTTCTGTCCGTGGTCGGTATCACAATGATATATTGGAATAACACATACAAATAAGCTTATTGGTAGTTATCGGAAATTGTGTCAGTTTGTGTACATTAAGGCTATGGATATGATAAATCCTAGTACCACGACCTTCAGACGTGTTAGATCCGTCTGCTCTTGGGAGACGGTCACCATGGTGATGTTTCTTAGGACCGTGCAGAATTATAAGTTAGATTTACGATGGACAGGATTTGGTCACAGAACACGTGCAGTTACGTTCAAATGGCAACGGGTGGTCAGAAATTAAGACATCTAGATAACCTATGCTCAGAAAACGAAGAAAGTGTGATGAAAGATCCCCTGACTCATTAGCCTGATTGTCCTGAAATGTAAAATTAGACAATCCATGATAAATAATGTAAATTTATTTTAAAAAAGGACTTATTTTGGTATATGGTAAGGATAAGTATAGAAACTGGTATACAAATAAAAACATAAATACTTCTATAGTGTGTTTTCATGGAATTGACTTGTGTACTATTATTTTATCATTATCAAAACGAGGTTCTGTTATTTTATCATGATCAAAACGAGGCTCCGTCATGATGAAACAAGAAAATAGTTGGATATTTAGATCATCGGGGATATTTTTCTGATATTTCGTTGAGGGAGTGTTTGGGTATGTGTGTAGAGGAGGGAGTGTTTATTGATTGAAGAGCCCGTCAGATGTTTGGTTTGTAGTCTGCCAATGTATACAATTATCTGCAGTCGGCGATGATAAGATCTTTAGAGCAATTTTATGCATTGCTTTGTCGGGCGAAGCTATGTTTGTTGGGGAAACTAGCTCCCCTAGGTATTGGCTGAATTGTCTGACCAGCTTTGACCGACCGTTTGAAACATAAGCGTTCATGAACAGCCTTGGGGACATGATACAACAGTTACCCAAATCTAGCTAAATGTAACCAACAAGATCACGACATTTCAACAATTGCCGAGCCTCCCACTTTATTGAACCGCATAGTTCAAATATATCGGAGTCAGTATTTGCTTCATTTGCCGATTTTCTTTTGTTTTCAGAGAAGCAAGATAGTTTGAAAAAAAAATCTGATCATGTTGACGAGAGAAAGTTGCTTGCTGGTCCTTATTATTCTCGGCTGTGGACATGGCGAGCAAGAAGTTGGTAAGTTTTGTTAAGAAAAAAAAACTACAAACATTTACCTCTGGTCAGTTCCCCGAGATAGTCATCATCACCATCGTCATCATAATCGTCATTGTCGTCGTTGTCGTCTGCAGATGAAATTAGAATTGATCCCTACACACTTATTTTTAGCTCATCTGGTTCTAAGGGCCTGATGTCCGTTGTTCGGCGTCAACTTTTTCGTTTGAGCGAGTTTTTCTCAGTAAGAAGGTGTCCAATAGTAATGAAATTTGGCTGACAGGTTCCTTGGATAAGACAAAAGTTTGAGAAAAGAAATGTCCTTGACTCTTATTCAAGGTCACTGGGGATCAATTTGTTAAAACCTTTAGACGAATCTGTCTGGTTAACAAAAGTCCTAGAGATATGATGTTTGATTGATGGACTGATAGGAAAACGTCCACAAAGTTTGCGAAAAGAAATTAACTTGAACCATATGCAAGGTCACAGGGGTCAAGTTTGTCAAAACCATTAAACATTTCTTCTGAATAGCCAAAAGGCGTGGAAGCATATTTGGCAAGTTGGTCTTTGGGATGAAGCCCGACAAAGGTTGCGAAACAAAAACAAAAAAGAAATAACCTTGAAATATAGTCACGCTCACAGGAGTCAACTTTGTCAAAACCTGAAAAAAAACTTCTGGGTAAACCAAAAGTCTGAGAAGCGCGATCTCTGTTGAAAAGGTCAAATGTCAAAGGTCGACAGTTTGGAGAGGAAAATAACATTTACCTCTAATCCAGGTCATAACTGTGACGTTTAAGAGCCGAGTGTTAGAAGCTTAAGTTTGCTGAAGAAATTGGTTACAATTGATTGTATGTGCCCTCTTTGAATGAAGCACGTATTTATGTATTTGTGATGAATGTTGATAGTTGTATTTTTTTATCAAAATGGAATACCAGGTGAGCGGCGAAGGCCCATTGGGCCTCTTGTCAACATACGTGCGAATTTTTCAGATCGATCGAAATCATCCGTGATCGGAACATTATATGTATGTAATATAAAGGATCGATATTTCATATCTTATAGTCAGGTAGTTTGAATTCCACCGCAGGCATTTACTTTCTAATCTACGAACATGAAAATAGAATAAACTGTTATTATAGATAAAATGAAGCCTGCAGTTTTAGCGAATTTGAAAATCTTATTTGGGTATTAGATATGTTATTCTTCAATGGTTTCTTTCCAATATTCTAAAGATATAGACAGCCAAATACTACTTCAATAATTGCTACACACTTTGAAGCTCCAGGTACTGACAGTTATTGATTGCTGAAATCTGTAGACTAATTTTATCCTGTGTTATATCGCCCTCACATGTTCACAGCTGGCGCCACAGAGGTAAAACACCAATTGATGTGACGTAAATACTTTCATTCTTTCCACACTAACAGTTCTCGAGAGAATATTTAATCGTATTCACACAAGGGAATATTATCATCATTCTACAGTATGTGAAATGTCTGTGAAGCATTAATGCGTTGGTTCTGCATGTACATTTGGAAACGTTTAGCGTGTCAGAACGATTAAATAGACTAGGGAACGTTATGATATTTCCTGTGATTTACCAGGGACAGTGATAATAACTGATGAAGGTCCTTATATTTATCTGTTTTACCAGAGATAATGATAATTACTGATGAAGATCCTTAACTTCCTATATTTTACAACAGATAGTGATACTTACCAATGAAGGTCCTTAACTTCCCATGTTTTACCAGAGATAGTGATAATTACCAATGAAGGTCCTTTACTTCCCGTTTTTTACCAGAGATAGTGATAATTACCATTGAAGGTCCTTAACTTCCTGTGTTTTACTGTGTCTACCTGATGGATTTACAGCAAAAATTACGAAAATGGCAACAGTTGTTGCGTTTTCCGGTCTTACGCTTTTGTGTAACCGAAACGTCAGGAATATGTATTGTTTTCTTCAAATGTTCATTTTTGTTTCCTTAGCGGACTTTCAGGACACCGCTTCATGTGGAAGGACATATCACCTTGACAACAATGCATCCGTCAAGGTCATAAGAAACGATGAGACATCCGGGTATTGTGGGTTCCTATTCCATGCAATGACGGACGACATGTACACGTGCCCGGAAGTATGTGTTAGGGTCGAAGAGAGATCGATCAGCGATTGTCACGCAAGACTGACCTTAAATGGGATCAAGTTCGTCACGACGGAAGCACCACCAAAGGTACGTAACGACAATTTGAACAACAGTGACGAGAATGAATTATCAATTCAATTCTGTCAATGAAGATTTTTTAAGAAGATAAGTCCTCGAATTTATAAATGTCTGTTGTTTAAATATTAACCGTTATGCCCTTCAGGAGATGACATGTTTTGAACGCCTGCCAGATGAGATGTGTTTTGATACCAGCACGTTGAGAGTTGAGTTGATCCGGGACCTTCAGTACCCTCATGCCAAGCTGAACATCAGTTTCGTAGTATCTCCTAAATGTCTCACGACAGTGGAAGCTAAACGGAAACGGGAAGAAATGGATGCAGGTAAGACGCATGCGTAATAATTACGTCACGGGACAATTTATTACATTGAATCTAAATCGATATGTATGTAACACGATAAAAATAACTGTGTTTTATATATCTCTTTTCAAACAATATAGTGTTAAGGGTTTGTATTTGAGTTAACTTGCTTATCATATTCTTCAACAATATTTTTACTCCCACAGAAACACGAAGAAAGCACAGCGAAGAGACATATAACAGCATGGTGAAGGGAATTGTCACTGGTGTTTGTCTGTGTTCTATCTTTCTATTGGTCCTCTTGCTCACGTGGTGTTACTACCAGAATAGCTCCAACAGAGGCAAGCGGTACGATTATCCCTCCGCCAAAATCAGCAAAAGTAAGTTAATTGTTCGTCTACACTTTTGAACTCGGAACACTAACTTTTTTTCTTTATTAGACTGCCAATTATCAATTTTATATCATCAGTTTTACATTTTCACATAACAAATTTTTTAACGTTTTCCAATTAAAGGTTTACCAGAACATAACCGATTTGTTTTCTTTTTCTCACAAACAAAGGACCAACACTTGCCGGGTTCAAGGCCAGAATGAACTTTAGGAACAGTAGAAACGCCGAAGCAAAGTCAGAGGAAGCTCCAAGTGAAAGGTATACGGTAACAAACGAAACTTCGACTAAAGTTAAACAAGAAGAAGACGTTCCGCTCATTAAAACTCAGAAGGAAGCAGAAGAGAAGGAAGCATGTGACGATGCAACGGAGAACGCATGCGCAAAGGACGAAACTAGTTGTGATCCAGAAAAAGCAGAACCATGCGAGTCGAATGTGCCGGAAGAATACTCTACGCCTCCAGCGGAAGTAGATTATGCACCAGCTACTATAGAAACGACTTGTACAGACGTTAGTTCAGGTGGTGACGGAGGATGTGACGTGGCGACAACTGAAGCTTAGGTTTAAATTATGATAGGTATTCTGTTTGTCTAATTTTATGCAGAAATATAGATATCGGATGTGGAATATTAACAAAACTTAACATCAACTTAGAAAATGTGTGTCCTAAGTAAGTTTTAAATACTCATATATTGACAAACTAATATATTTATCTGGTGTAGTAATTCAAGCTTAACAATCTCAGTGAATAGCACATCTCAGTAAGTACTATATCATATAAAATTGCTGTCATCACTCCCTGAATATAAATGACTACTGAATATCATTTTGTAATCATTTGACTAATAATAGCTGTTTATACGTGTGATTTAGAAAGTATCATTAAGAAACATTTGCAATTGTTTTTCTTCTGTTGCAATTGAATTCAACGAAATTTGATTTCTTGTAAAGACAACACAATTACCTTTATAATAATTAAGTACTTATACAGATGTATTTTTATCGTCACACCAATGTGTATGCTGCAGAGAAAAAATTGACATTGATAATTACGTAGAATATGGTTTTACTTGTGCACTGCAGTAGAAAACTTTGTATGAGAGATTGAGTAAGTGAGATTTTGACAGTGGTGTTTTTTCTGTTTATTTTTTTGTTTTGTCTGTATGCATCATTGTACAAGTTGTTGGTTTGACTCGTTAATGCACGAAGATGAATCATCGTGGATTTCATTCAGAAAAAAATATAGTACTTCATTTTATCTATTTTCGATATTAAGACAGTAGTTAATATTTCTTAAATGATGATTAGTGAATTTACTTTTAAGATTTCTTATTTTTGTAACAAATGTAATATTTTGTATGCAAGTCAAGTTACTTCCCCTAAAGTTGTTATAATGAAATGCAAGACGGGGGAGACAACTCTGCCTGTAGTTATGGTAACGACCAATAGAACTAGTGGTACTTGTAAAAGAAAATTTTCCCGTTTGTATGCTTGACCGAACGTGTTTGTGTTATAGAAGAGTAATTGGAAACGATTGTATATTTTAATGAGTTTGATCAGGGGATTGTATTTTTCTGTGTATTTTTCTGTGGTTTTAAATGATGTCTTCTTCATGTTCCCATGGCAACTATTCTGTATATTTGTATGTAGATGCATTTTTGTACGCAATTTAATATATATATATAGTCCTTATCGTGCTGGATCCCATAAATGTTTTGTTTAAGTCTGTCTATTTGTTATATGTGTTTTCGCGTGACTGTCATCAGCGATTCATTTACATCTACGTTAATGATAATTCAAAACTTACTCCAACTGTGAGTTAACAGATAGTGTTTGTTTGTTGAGCTTATGGCCCTGTCAACAACTTCTGTTATGTTGAGCCGGAGTTTCCAAGTAATTGAAGAACTTACGGGAGGCCCGTCGCATGCTATTTAGCAAAATTTGGGTAAAGTGTCTCCCCATCGACACAACAAAATGGTAATTTTCTCATTTTCTAGGGAAATAAAAACAGTCCAAACTATGTATTGTAAAAGCACATTCATGAGTCTTCATCTGATGTTCGATAAAAATAGTGTTCTACCGACTATGAGCTATCACAATCCCAGTTTTAACATTTAAAGTGAATAAAGACATTTCGCTGAGAGTATCCAATAGATAAAGATAGGCGATTTTAATCATACCAACATAAATGTTTTTGGGAATCTCCTGCTCCAGTTTATAATTTAATCTGAAAATTTACAGGAAAACACGGATAAGTCGAAGTCGGCGGGACCAAATTAAGTATTCGACTTATCCGATGGCTCGACTAAGTCGTGTTTCTATACGATACTTTGTACATCGAAGATTGAAGCTGTTTTGTTTACCGGATAATTGTTTCATAGCATGGCGTCACATTAATGAATAAGTAATGCATAAATATATACATATTGTTATTTTATACACTAGCGATATATTTTATTTAGATAAACAGTACGAATATGAAACAAAAAATGTAATATGAAACATTCGTCATTGAATTGCAGCACATGTGTGGATACACATCCATTCTCGTACACAGAACTTAGTGAAATCGATACCTAAAGTAATACAGATATTGTACTCACATTTATATCCTGAAAAGAAACAAGTCCCGCCAACAATATTTTAAAATAAAATTCAATAAATTACGTACTCATTAATATCCTACATAGATATAACATCGATAGCACTTAGGTGGGTTACGAAAAGGTGAAGCCGTGGTAAAGTCACTGAAGCATAACTTTACACATACAGCACGGTAAGAGCGTAACCATGAAATAAGATAAACGGAACTGGCATTTTCGATATGTACAGGTATATCCAGTAAATGAATTTAAGATCAGTAGCCATGAACATAAATATTTAACAAAACACAGAAAATTTACTATTACTACTATAGTGTATTTTTTTAAAAGTTTGGTTGCATAATTTTGTTTAAATTCAAACTTTCATCTTTGTAAACGCAGGGATTCATATTCGATCGAAAACAACAATAGGGCTCAGTAACACAGATACGGCTGACCTATCAGACCCACTGATTCGAACAGAAGCCAGGAAAATTTTACCTGCGCAAAGTGACGCCTGAATGTTTGACACCGAAAGAAAAGAAGGGATGGATCACAAAATATATTTGACTCAAACGCAGTATTCGACTCAACAATGTTTGAATCATCTATGTTTAATCTATTAAGATAGAGATGAGACAAAAATCGGAACCGAACAAAACATTCGACTTATCCTATGTAATCGACACAATTGAGTTTTACTTTTATTGTTAAAACTGAAAGACGTGCAAGTTTGGAAGTAATAACAGTATTTATTATAGAAAATGTAAATCATTTGATTGACAATTTAGACTACGGAAAAACAATGCCGGAATTTAGTTTATGACAGAAATATCTCTATCGTCTACATACGTAAACGACCTATGACCTCTGTTAAAGACATTCTGATTTGTAAGAGTTACTTCCCTTCGTTTCATTCACTAAGATCGCTTCAATAATAAACATGTGATTGTGACTGTTTTTAAAGATATAACAAACACATAAATTATTCCGTCATATCATCTTTTGTGCAACATATTTCAGGAAATGAAAAATAAGGTGAAATTGTTGTTCTATCTGGGAACATTGATCGTATGTTTACTGTTTTACATAAACTATGTAATTACAGAGGTATTCTGTCATGAGGTACTGTGGGACCACTCGGTCGGCCATTCTATCGACCGACTTGTTTGCCCTATGGAGCGCTGCTGATTGTGATGGGTGTGGGGTATCATAAACACGTAAATGAGACTATACTTTTCTCGTTGTTGATGGCAGCTACGAAGAATTGTCCAAAGAATTTAATAGAACTGTTCCATATTGATACTTGTTTGAGGCCGCAGGTTTTTTTATTAGATAAAGTTTTTAAGAAGAAAACCGTTCGTCATGGTTTGGCCTGGTGGGTTACATTCCTCCTGTAAATGCCTAACCACACGATGACGGTTAGAAGCAAGCTGATAACCACGATCAACAAGGCCAGTACTGTCCAAAACTGGTCTGACGTCATCACAACTGTAACGAGAAGAACACCAAGGGAGATACAAATACGTTTTCAACATGCTGATGGCGTCATCACAAGTTTGCAAAATACGTGTGACGTCTTGGTGCTTGTATGTTTTCATATCAGAAAAAGGAAAACTTTTGGAAATATGATTTTTTTTCACTCGTGTCTTTCATGACTTGGATATTACAGATTATCAGAACTTACCAAATGCTCCGGTATTGCTCCCGTCATATTGTGTCTCTGAAATGATGTGAACATCTGCAGAACGCTTGTGTTTATGACCCGAATAAGAGCGCTGATCGTACCGGAAGTCTCGGCATTCTGGGAAGCCTTTCGGTGGCAGTGGGACATGAGCCAATGATTCGTTGATCGCCAAGGCCATCCCGTCCATGCTATGCAGCTCAATGTGGCAATGCAAGAACCACAGACCTGGGTTATCGGACCTGATTTGCACGACTACATACCCGCCAGATGGCACTATCACAGTGTCTTTCCGAGGAGGATTGATTAGGTTTAATCCGGGGACATTGTTACCATACCAGGAGGCGTTAGACCAGGTTGCGTTGTTGCAGAAACTAAAGGTACCATTTCCACGACAGTTAATATCTGGATTGTCAGACACAATCTGGCCATCAGTATCATAAACACCGAATCCCATCTTGAGGATTTCAAATGAGTGACCATGCATATGTATAGGATGAGCCCAGCCCCGCCCTAATCCCATATTGAGGAAGATAAGATTATATGTTTTATTGTAATCTAGATTCAATGTGTTAAAACAGTAGCATATTTTATCATCACCACAATCTTTGTCATTACATCGATGTTCGTCATCTACTTCACTCATCTGAGTTAAACCAGATACTTGAGGTACTTTAAACTTTCTGCCATTGACAGAAGCTGGGGTAAAGGAAGTTCCAGGAAAAGCGAAATTGAGAAATGTGTCACTAGCTGATTCTGCTGGTGTGATGGCATTCACACTAGTTGTTGGCGTCATGTTTTGTTTCCGACGAAGTTTATCGACATTGATACACGTTGAATTATACCAGGTTGGAAACTCTGTAAATGGACAGTTCAATGTTACACATTTAGTGGTCCGAGTGCAACTATGAGGGAAGGATGTTGGTTCTTCGTTCATTGCTCCCACGTAGTGTAATATGGCCTCTGCAGTATGGTTCAAATTGAGCTCCAGTGTCTTCGCCCGGATCCAGTAGTTTGACGGACTCTGGTATGCGCTTAATAGGAAATCATATCTTTCACCAGGATTGATGATGATGGACTGGACTGTCACTGGCTCAATGTCCATTCCATCCGAAGCGATGACAATTAACATGTGGTTGTCAATGGAAACCCGCCATGGATACAAAGCGCCTGTAGCTATCATTCGGAAACGATACATTGCCCCGTACGTAACATTAAAACTAGAAAGAGGCGCGCCGTTGTGGTTGCCCGTAAGATCGTCATAGTAACGCCCTCTGCCGTTGATTAACCCTGAATGTATGTGAAACATACTGAAGGAAGCACCCTCTAACGACTTTGTATTGGGAACCTTGGTTCCATTTTCATAATTTCCGTAGTACATTTTCATATATACCATGTCAGAATCGATGTCATGGTTCCAGTCTTGTATTGTGAGAATGTGTTCGTCAGTTTCTAGGGGAATCTTCTCCCTTATCACCAGAGCTCCATTGAGCCCCATTGATCTTTGTGCTCCAATATGAGAATGATACCAGTATGTTCCCGCCGGAGTGGCCCTGAACCGGTACGTAAATTGTTGGCCCGGCAGTACTGGGCATTGCGTTATAAAAGCCACTCCGTCCATCCAAGGCGTATCGTGTTGTGGCAGACCGTGCCAATGAATGGTCACGGCGTCACTGGCCAGTTTGTTGTGTACATGGACGGTGATCAACTGACCCTCGTAAACAATTAACGGTGGACCTGGAAGACTGTTGTTCACAACTGTTACTATGCGAGGTTCAAAGTAGCCGTCCCCGGTTATGATATTGTCCTTTGGAATGACGTCACGTGGAGTCGGATCATGGACATCATAGTGATAAAGTTGACCGTGTCTAGGGTAGAGCAAAATTTTATCGTCCATCATCGTGAGATGATTTTCAACGATGAACGTGAACTCGCACTCATCGTCATCACGATTACAGTCGCATTTTCCATCACGCATTATCATGAACACAAGAACTGCTTGCAGGCATATTCCCAACATATTCAAAAGTTTGTCTACAACCAGAACAGTATCTAAAGTTTAAATAAATCGCGTGCCAATGTAAAAACGCAAAGGGATGTGTCTCATGAAACAGCGATACAATAAGTCTAATACAAAAGAGTATGAGGTGTCTCATGTTAGAGGAGTCGCGGGTGTCTAATCATGACGAAAAACAGGAGTTGGGTGTTTTATTAGAAAGGTATGGGAAGTGTCTCATACAGAGGTCGAAATTCTCTTGTTACAAAGGAGTAGGATGTGTCTTCTGACTCAGGAGTAGAATGAGGCCTATTATAAAGGATTTGTCTGAATACACACGAGTAATGTATCTTATTACAAATGTCTAGGATGTGTCTTATGATTCAGAAGTTGGATTTGTCCTATTACAAAGAGTCGGATGTGTCTCCTGACTCAGGTAAATGAGCACTATTACAAAAGTCTGCGTGCGATAAAGATGTAGAATCAGGAGGACGTGTCGGTGGTACGATAGTAGAATGAATCCTTTTTAAAGAAGGATTAAAATGTGTCTCCTGTTTCGAAAGTAGTGTATGTCTTATTCCAAAAGAGTAAGATGCATCTCACATCACAAAAAGAAACCCACAACAATAGAATTTGTCTAATTACAAATGAGTAGGACGTGTCTCACAATAGAAAAGTATAATTTTATTACAAAGGTGTGATTTGTCTCGTGTTACAGGAGCAAAGCGTCATATTGCAAAGGATTAGAGTGTTCTGTGGAATAGGATTTGTGTCACGATATAAAAAGTGCTACTATCCTGTTAGAAAGGAACAGGCAGTGTCTTATGGTCAGACATGTGGTCAATTACATTGTAAAGTAATTGATTACATTACAATTACTTTCAATATTTATGATTACAATTACAATTAAATTACTCATATTTTTCAAATGTAATGATTAAATTACAATTACTTTTAGTATGTAATCATGATTACTTTTGATTACTTCTGATTACTTCATTTCACTGAAATTTTATGATAGGTTAAAAGCGAAATGGAAATCTAAGAAACAAAGCAGAATTTGTGGAATAACTGTTTACTTAAACTGAAATTTCAAATTTAAGTTTTAGATATATATTACATATACATGCTGCATTTTTCTGGTCATACACATTAATGATGTACATATTCTGATAGGGAAAGTTAAGTTCATCACAACAACAAAATCAAACTGTTCACTAATATAACATGACTAAGGAAGCAGGTTAAGTATTTATTTCAGTATTGCACTTAATATTCATAAGTTTTTCAAAAGTGTCGTCCTTTAGACGACACCTCTCTGGGCGGAATGTCTTTCCTGCGACGCTATGGTACAGGACAAGTGTATTTCATTACAAAGGAGCAGAATATATCACCTGATACAAAAGTACAGTGACTCTTTTTACATAGGAATAGGATGTGTCTCGTGATACAGAAGTAGAGTGAGTTGTTACAAAGGAGAAGGACGTGTCTGATGATACAGAAGTAGAGTGAGTTGTTACAAAGGAGAAGGATGTGTCTGATGATACAGAAGTAGAGTGAGTTGTTACAAAGGAGAAGGACGTGTCTGGCGATACAGTAGTAGAGTGAGTTGTTACAAAGGAATAGGACGTGTCTGATGATACAGAAGTAGAGTGAGTTGTTACAAAGGAGAAGGATGTGTCTGATGATACAGAAGTAGAGTGAGTTGTTACAAAGGAGAAGGACGTGTCTGGCGATACAGTAGTAGAGTGAGTTGTTACAAAGGAATAGGACGTGTCTGATGATACAGAAGTAGAGTGAGTTGTTACAAAGGAGAAGGACGTGTCTGGCGATACAGTAGTAGAGTGAGTTGTTACAAAGGAATAGGACGTGTCTGGCGATACAGTAGTAGAGTGAGTTGTTACAAAGGAATAGGACGTGTCTCATGATACAGTAGTAGAGTGTGTTGTTACAAAGGAGAAGGACGTGTCTGGCGATACAGTAGTAGAGTGAGTTGTTACAAAGGAATAGGACGTGTCTCGTGATACAGAACTAGAGTGAGTTGTTACAAAGGAGAAGGACGTGTCTGGCGATACAGTAGTAGAGTGAGTTGTTACAAAGGAATAGGACGTGTCTCGTGATACAGTAGTAGAGTGTGTTGTTACAAAGGAGAAGGACGTGTCTGATGATACAGAAGTAGAGTGTGTTGTTACAAAGGAGAAGGACGTGTCTGATGATACAGAAGTAGAGTGAGTTGTTACAAAGGAGAAGGACGTGTCTGATGATACAGAAGTAGTGTGTTGTTACAAAGGAGAAGGACGTGTCTGATGATACAGAAGTAGTGTGTTGTTACAAAGGAGAAGGACGTGTCTGGCGATACAGAAGTAGAGTGAGTTGTTACAAAGGAATAGGACGTGTCTCATGATACAGAAGTAGAGTGTGATGTTACAAAGGAGAAGGACGTGTCTGACGATACAGAAGTAGAGTGTGACGTTAAAAAGGAATAGGACGTGTCTGATGATACAGAACTAGAGTGAGTTGTTACAAAGGAATAGGACGTGTCTCGTGATACAGAAGTAGAGTGAGTTGTTACAAAGGAATAGGACGTGTCTGACGATACAGAAGTAGAGTGTGATGTTACAAAGGAGAAGGACGCGCCTGACGATACAGAAGTAGAGTGGGTCATTACAAAGGAATAGGACATGTCTCGTGATACAGAACTAGAGTGAGTTGTTACAAAGGAATAGGACGTGTCTGACGATACAGAAGTAGAGTGAGTTGTTACAAAGGAACAGGACGTGTCTGGCGATACAGAAGTAGAGCGGGTCATTACAAAGGAGTAGGACGTGTCTCATGATACAGAAGTTGAGTGAGTTGTTACAAAGGAATAGGGCGTGTCTCATGATACAGAAGTTGAGTGAGTTGTTACAAAGGAGAAGGACGTGTCTGGCGATACAGTAGTAGAGTGAGTTGTTACAAAGGAATAGGACGTGTCTCGTGATACAGTAGTAGAGTGAGTTGTTTCAAAGAGTAGGACGTGTCTGACGAAATATGAACGTATGAACTACTGACCATTATTGTTGATTTATATGAATAATTGAAATATTGTTAGATTGACACAGGAAATTCGAATGACACAATTTTGTAATAAATAAAATGATTAAATTCATACATTTTGCGATATTAATTCAATCAGTTGTCATAATCAAGAGTTGTTTCTGCAAATGTAGAAACATTTAACGTATAAACATTAAACAGATTACTTAAATACTGACTGTTAACTCTTACCTGTATATTTTGAAGTTCCTTATGGATCTAGCCTTGATTACGCCATAGGCTGTTTATATACACACGCGAATACACTACATATGACACACCTGAGAGAATTCCAGATGCATTTTTTCTCCAAGGGGCCGGGATTGGCAGTATGAATTTCATTGGTTGTTTCTTATCAGCAAGCTCAAGGTTTTGCGGACATTACAGACCTTTACAAAAATATTAGCCTTATTTCGTTATATCATATCATGAAATTTTATCGTTTAATGCTGTCATTCATAATAGTAATCATTACCTGTATACACATCTCGTAATATGTGCTCGTGATGAGATCAGTTATTCCTCATATGACAAAATTTGTGATATCACATTGAATTTAATTGTATATGTTTAAAGGAGTACCTTTTGTCATTTTCGTAGGTATAAGATTGTTTCACACACGATAGCTCGTGTACGCCATTACATGTGTGTGTCTAGCACGTGTACTCCATTCCAGGTGTAAGTGTGGCTAGCACGTGAACTCCGTTCTATGTGTAAGTGTGGCTAGCACATGAACTCCATTCCATGTGTGTGTCAAACATTCGTAGGATAAACAAGAAAACCATGCAGATATCGGGAACTGAATTTTAAGAAAATCATGTCCTTCATTTGACAACTTAGTAATAAAAACATACAAACTAAATGATTTGAAGAATTCTGGGGGTAGAATTTTCCATGCTTTTTATCCAAGTTACCTTCTTTAACAATACCAGTATAGTACTGTACACTGTTTTACGGCAAACAGATTAACACACCTTACTACTGTACCTATCCTAGTGTTTTAAAGTTGATCATACCGGTAAATACCCAAATTGATACAGATTAATTAAAGTGCTTCTGTCTGTTAAACCACCATCATTTCCCGCTTTATCTTTCGGTCTTACGATCTATCACTAAGCGTTTGGATTTGACCGGGTCATAGCCCACGAAAATATGTATTAGATGTTCTCATTGTGGATAATTAGGAATGGGAAATAATCAAAAGACAACGAGACTTGCCAATCATGGGTAAGAATAAGAGAGGGGTGTGACAAGACACAGAATTGCATATCTGGGAGAAAACGACGAGATATGTCCCATTGCTAGAATAGGATTTGAAGCAACAACACGAAATATCCAACCAACCTTATTTCAATTCTATGACATGTTAAACTGAACTGGGATTCCTTGGATAAAAAAACGAAATAAAAAGCAAATGTTTATTTGGCTAAAGAGGTGCGAATGCTTTAATAACAAACACTGAGGGTAATAATATTAAGCTAGAAATGTCGGTACGACATGGATGTCCCCACATACATCTAACATAATGACATGACAGGAAGGACGATAAACAGACATCAACTCCACTGAAAAAGACCGGCCGTGTTAGATGAAACTTCATAAAGATATATTTTGTGTTTCACACATGACGTAATAGAACTACACATGTATCTAACAATTGAACGATTTGTAATATTTCCCCTATAATGCTCTGCTTTATAGTTTTACACCACAAACTAGATAAGATAGAAGGCTTTCTTGTAATCAACAAAACAGCAGGTTAACCTTTCACCTTTTTACTTACATCCTTGTGAATTAATGTTTGAAGCACAAATATCGCATCAATATTA